TAAACGTGCTATAAAGCAGAATACACAGGTATACAAAACTTTATGTAGAAAGAAAGACAGGAGACTCGGGGAAAGGTAAGAGTCACTTCCACTATATGTCCCTCTGTGCTCCTCGGCTGATCTTTAGATCAGCTCTGTCCAATTACATAATCGAGCACATTTGTAATCTTAAATTTTCTAGTTAGTAGCAACGTTTTAAGAAATAAAGAGAAACAGGTGAAATTAACTTCAATAATATATTTTATGTAACTTATTTTATCCAAAATAGTATTTCAACATGTAATCAGTTAAAAACCGTTATGAAGTTCAACCTAAAAAGGCTACATTCTTGTTTGCCAACTAAGTAGTCAACATCTGATGTACATTTTACACCTACAGCACATTTCAACGCGGACTGGCTGCATTTCAAACCCTCAACCGCTTCCTTTAGCTGGCAGGTGAGTGCAGCCCTAGGCTGATTATGACGTGGTGACAGCAAACATTTGAAGTTTATATTGAATCACTTAGAATTGGCTAAAGCCGCTAAACATGGTAAATCTTAAGTAACTCTACCTTTCAACCATAGTTCAACTATAATAAAGGGGGAACGAAATCTACTTTTAAAAAGTAACCAAATTTATGTATAAAAAATAGACTAAGAGAAAGAATAGAGAAGAAGGGAGTGCGGAAGGCAGTGCACCTTCATTGAGGGAAGGTTAGTCAGAGCAGATCAAGTTTGACTAAGCCACCAAAATGCCCCGAAGTGAGGGAGCCTGGAGCCTGGAGCCTGGAGCCTTGCGCAGCGGCCCGCGGCCCCTGGACCCAGAGGCTCCGGCTCCTCTGCGCTCCCGCGGCGCTGCCTCCTTCCCACCACGACCCGACCTTGGGGACCCAGCCTTGGCGGGGGCGACCTCGCAGGGGAGGTCGCCTTTTGGGGGGCCCCGGGTGAGTGACCCCAGCTAACCCACCAGCAGCTAAATCCCTCCACCTAAGTGGAAGAGAAACTAAACAAACTGTAACCATGGGAACAGCCAATCCCCAGTCAGGCGGGCCGAGTATTGTACGGGTGCTCCAGCAGGACAAACTACCTCCTTCTGTAATTGGCATGAAGGCTGCATCTTAGGGGCTGGATGGGGAACTTAAGTAGATGTTAATATTTAAGTCATTTTGGAAAGTAGTTAACAAAGAACTTTAAATTGTTTCTGATCTACCTATACTTATTACTTGTATATAGTCAATACTAAATTGCCTTTGTTCATTCCACAAAAACTTAATCCTGAATAGTAATTTATGGGGTCGGAAATATGAAAGGGAAGCCAATAAATTGTTTGCCTTCCATGACAGCAGTTTCTTTAAAAAAAAAAAAAAAAGTAAATTATCACTCATTGTCTATCAAAAATCCTCTAAATGAATGAGTTAGTGGAGTGAGAAATTAAGAAACTTATTTTCTAATTGTTTTACTGTAAAATATTGACGTGACTCTCACTGTTTTAATATTAAATTTTAATTTTATGTATAAATCATGTGATTTAACTTTTACTTAAAATTAATCAAAGATTTTTGTGTGGAACAAATATATAGAATACAAATGTGAAAGTTAATTTTAGTTAGTAACAGGAATTTCTAATTTTTATTGTTTGTAAGTTTGCAAACAAAGAATTAAATTCCAAGAGGAAGTGGCTATGCATAATTGCAAAAGATATCTGACATACAGTAAGCTAAGGGCAAACATTTAATTGAGCCTTTGAAAGAAAATAGACTCTATTGCTTGGTAACAATACTATAATAAACTTGTATTGCATCAACTTAAGAATTTATAACATAAAGTGAGAAATCACTAGACTTTTGATATTAAAAAACATGTTAATGCCTCATTCAAGAAAGATGATTTTCAAAACTAAACTATTCCTGGTTTTAGATCTAATCAAGTTTAATATTTTCATTATCAAAGTTCATGATAAATGCTCCTCCCCTTTTTTTTTTAGTTTAGTTTTGTGGCTGATTTATAGACTATTCAAACTCTTCACTTATAATGGCCAGATTAGCATATGATGTTGAAATTCACATGTAACAATTTTAAGCTTAATTTTATTTATAATTAGGAAAGTAGGTGTTTTCATATATATATATTTATAAACTATTAGTAATCAATTAATTTCTAAAACTAATTTTAAATAGCTAATTTAGTAATCAGCTAACTTGAAGATGATGTATAGATTGCTTTCCTTCATAAATCTTACCTTGCCAAAGGAATGGGCCCATTACGAGGGCAGACTCTCATCTTGACCTCCAGGGGGCGCCACGCAGTCTTCCCCAGTCATGAGGCATGGTTAATGCCCAAAAACAAAATAAATAAAAATTAAAATAAAATAAAAAAACTAAAACTAACAGAAAACCAAAACATAAAAACAAAATTAA